ATTTATTTTAATTTTTTTACAGCAAGGTGTATGCCGTGCCTCCAAGCTTTCTTAATCGTTTTGCTAATAAACGTTCTACGTTTCTCATTTATTTGGTTATATATTATACATGTTTACTTAGCCTATTTCCTATTTTGTATACCTATTTAAACTTTATGTAAGTTATTTGTTATTTTATATGAGGCATAGCCTGCCCTATAGCATGGTGTATTTTTATTAGTTTTGTTAATAAAAGTTCTATGTTTTATATATAGGCTAAAGTGAATTTTGACGTTGTATTTTGTTGTTGCATTCAAGCAATTGACGCCGAACTGCCGCTAATTCGAAAGTGAAAGTAAAATGTGCACGCCGCTTTTACAAGCTATTTAAAAGCGAAGGAAAGCGAGGAAAAGAGGGAACGCCCCCGCAGTGATACCGGTATTACTGGTGTTGTCACACGTCGATTAACCGGTGGGAAAATTTCCTCACCGTCACAACCCTACTTCAGACTCATGCTTTCTGGGTTACTATTATTTTATTATTCTTTTCACTGATCAAATGACTACTGTGTGACTGATGTTTCTCTCTCTCAAGAATAAATGTGCCAAACTCTTGATCGGAGTCGGACGCTTCAGTCTTCAACAGGTCAATCTGGAGAAAGTCTGACTGAATCAGGAACATTTCGAAGTGCTTGTAGATTTACAGCTGTGCTAGAATTACTTCCCTTATAAAAAATATTCATATAGTTTACAGTTCTTTAAAAGGGTCATATTTTGCTTGTTATTTTGATAATTAGACCAACATACACAGCACTACACTTTATATATCAACAGATATTCAGGAAAACCCTGATTACCTGTTCACAACAGAGGAGATTTGCATATAGGAATATTAAAGGTACAGTAGAAAAAAAGTGCTTAATTATAAGAGTAATGTAAGGGGAAAATGGTAACGCAAAATTAAATGACTACTGTTTTTAGTGCAAGAAATGCCACCATTCATTAATGCATTAGGTATCATGAACAATTTTTATTATTTTTACAGCATTTATTATTTTGGAAAATAATAATAATAATAATAATAATAATAATACTTTAAAATAAGGTTATATTAATCTTGGTTAATTGTATTATTATTATTATTATTATTATTAAGCATGGCTAATACAACCTTATTTTAAATTGTTAGTAATATTTTACTAATAATTATTATTATTATAATTTTAAATAAGGCTGAATTAATCTTGGTTTATCATTATTATTATTATTATTATTATTATTATTATTGTTAATACTTTAAAATAAGATTGTATTAATCTTGGTTAATTGTATTATTATTATTATTATTATTATTTAAAATAAGGTTGTATTAATCTTAGTTAACTGTATCATCATCATCATCATTTTTTTATTACTAATTCAATTAAATTATTATTATGAATTATTAACTACATTATCATTATTATAAATAATAAATAAAAACAATACAATCTTATTTTAAAGTCGTATATATCTTTGTGTCTATATTTCCTAATGACTTTATAAATGAAGTGCCTGTGAGGCAGAGCTTTCTCGCTCCTCCACACGACAGATGAACATCTCACAGCGTCTCTGAATCATCAGCAAAGTCATTAAAGCAGTTTTCAAACACAGCCGGACAGCGCATGAATTAATAAAGCCCTTCCTGAAATAGCCCTGGAGTACGGCTCTCACAGGAACAGGAAACGCATCATCACTGGGGACCCTTACGGCCACTGTCACAGCTAATACAGCTTTAATGAAGAGATCGGGTTACACCTGAGCGCAGGGGTCATGTGATCAGGTCATGTTCGTCAAATTAGACCCATGTGTGACATGCTCAAAAACACTGACTGAACTACAGTAACTCATGCATCTCTGAATATATGAATGTGTGTTGAGCTGCAGGTTCATTCAACCCCTAAACAGACTGACACACACACACACACACACACACACACACCTGCTGCAAGGAGGTGAACTGTCGTCTCCATGGTTACAGACTGCATGTTCCTGCTAAACAACAATATAAGGAGCCACAGCCGTAATCTGGACAGGAAATGACTCATTAATTAACCTGTGCATGCAAACACACACACACACACACGCATATTATAATATAATATTATAAAGTAAATATAACAAATGTATAAAAATACATTAACATAAAATATAATTTTCTGATAATTTATTATGTAACTTTATATATGATATCATTATATTTCTAAGATAACTACATTATAAAATATAAAACGTAATATTTCTAATATTAAATAATTAGACAATATTTTTTGGTGTTACTGTACAGCATTTCATGGCATAAAGAAGTCATATGATCGGACACATCAGGAGTGTGTGTGTGCGTGTGTGTGTGTGTGTGTGTGTGCTTGAGTATGTGAGTATATGTGAGTGTGTGTGTTTGTTTGTGTGTAAACACTGGCACGCTAGAGGTGTGTGACAGATACATTATACTGCTCGTAATGTTACAGGCACATTGCAATTAATCATGGTCAGGTCATTAAGTATTCAGAAAACTTTAATAAATTAATAAATCTTATACAGCAACTGTAACAACTGACTTGTTTTGAATGATTTAATTCTGACATAAAACCAGAACAATAAAACATTTAACAATGCATAAAGTGTTACACCTTGAACATGTACAAAGTTATGGGGTCCTGTTATAAACAAAACATGTAGTAATGATGCATGACTTAAAAAGCTGTTGAAACTGTCAAAAAGAATGGATTGCAACATGTTTTGAAAGAGAAGGTCTGCACACATCCAAAAACGTATTTTAAATGCAAAATTGATTTCCGTGCACTCGAAAGACTTTTTTCTTTGCGAAAATGAGCATTTTCTCCACAAAACTCAGATCGCGCGCATGCAAAATGCACTTTTGTGCGCTCAAAATATCTTTCGCGTGCAGAATTGTGGCAGAAATGTAAGCCCATAACATTGGAGACTGTGTACATTTAATTTAAGTTTGTTTATGCTGCAGATACTATTTATTTCAGAACTGTGAGGCTGATGATAAATAAGTAGCTGCTGAGACTGTTTCTACTTCATCCCGTCACAAGTTATGAGCTGATATGAATCTAGACATTTCATCTGGAACTGCAACTCTTTTAAAACATGTGGCAATCCATTCTTTTTGACAGTTTCAACAGCTTTTTAAGTCATGCATCATTACTACATGGTTTGTTTATAACAGGACCCCATAACTTTGTACATGTTCAAGGTGTAACACTTTATGCATTGTTAAATGTTTTATTGTTCTGGTTTTATGTCAGAATTAAATCATTCAAAACAAGTCAGTTGTTACAGTTGCTGTATAAGATTTATTAATTTATTAAAGTTTTCTGAATACTTAATGACCTGACCATGATTAATTGCAATGTGCCTGTAACATGAAATATGAACTGACAATTATGGAGTACAAACGTAGCACAGTTGAATATATGTCTCTCGCATAGGTCTGAGATTGGCTTGAGGTCTATTCATCATTGTAAAGCTATGGTTATGAGGGCAGGGTCAGCGCTAAGTGGGAGCTAGGCTGGACATTGGCCACCCAGTGTTAGTGAACAAAATCAGGGCAATGAGTATAATCCTTTTCTTCATTTTGACCAGACATTGTGGCTAACACAAGACAGCTGCATTTTTGGGAACACTATCTGTATTCATAGCAGTCTCTGCTTTACATTATTCACATTTTTGAGTGTCTAAATGACCGATTTAACTTCCAAGTTTTAAGTAAACATGCAAAAATAAAACGATAAACCTTTACTTGGCTAGTTAACTGAAATAAAACGATCAACTGCACTTACCTCTGCTAAATCATAACTTGAACGGTGGTCTCGCGCTGATGTCGTCAGCATCCAGGTAGGCACGCCCAGGGCACGCGATGAATACGCCCACAGTGGGTTATGATTGGTCGACTGACAGGGTCAAATCTGATTGGCTAAAGAGTACGAGTGTCCCGCTGGCAGTAGTTCGCTGGCAGGAAGGTCTCAAAATTCACACAAAATCGAAGGTGATTCACATTCACAGCCCATGATAAACTCCTGAATTTTTAACATTCAGAAATGTTGTACACATTTGTACATCTGTGAATTGTGTTTTGTATTTGTGAAACGTATTTTATGAATATATATTCTTATTTTGTGCATGTGAATTGGTTTTTGTGAATATATTTTTTCGTGCAAGTGAATTATTTCTCATGCATGTGAATTGGGTTACGCATGTGTGCATCGCGTCTTTTGCGTGAATTATTATTGAGAGCATTCTGGCTCCATACCCTTTGGGGACGTCCTCATTTGTAAAACTGGTATAAAAATAAAGTAAACAAAGTTGGGGTTTTTTTATTGTAAAAATGCAGAAAGTCTCCTGTGAGGGGTAGGTTTAGGGGTAGGGTTGGTGTAGGGCAATAGCACATACAGTTTGTACAGTATAAAAACCATTACGCCTATGGAATGTCCACATTTAGATAGCTAAGTAAACGTGTGTGTGTGTGTGTGTGTGTGTATCATCAGGCAGACACGGTCAGTCTCTGGACTCTCAGGATAATCTGCTTTGGTTTAAGTCTTTGCTGTAAGTCGTCATACAGATAAAAAGTATTCTCGTAGCTTCATAACTTTACAGTTGAAACACTGATGTCACACGGACTACTTTGTCGATCATCTTGGTACTTTTCTGGACCTTGAACGTGGTAGTTACCTTGCTGTCTATGGGAGGGTCAGAGAGCCCTCAGATTCCATCAAAAATATCTTAAATTGTGTTCTGAAGATGAACAAAGGTCTTACGGGTTTGGAACAACACGAGGGTGCATAATTAATGACAGAATTTTCATTTTTGGGTGAGCTAACCCTTTCAAATCTGCCAGCTTATTCAGAAATATACCAGATCAATTTAATGACTGTTCATGTTCTTGTCAGTGTGAGTTCTGATTAATGGAGCTTGAGGAGACTCTGTAATATGAGTGAGAATGCAGGCGTCTGGACTCACCAGCACGCGTCCCGTGAGCGTCTGAGCAGAGATCATGACCCCGGCCCAGTCCTTCACCGAGGTCATCCATCCCACCTCGCTGACCACCGCCTCCACCTCCCGCTGACCCAACGCTTTACTGATCCGCTGCGCATCCTGCACACACACACACACACACACACACTATCAGCATCCTGATGCTCTGCTGCAATACACATAAACATGAATCGTAATAAATTAACGTACATTTCTGCCACATGGACATCACCTTGAGATAGTCACCACTGATACGCTATTACTAAATATAATGCAGCAACTTTAATTTTCTGTAAAGCTGCTTTGCAACGATGTGCAAGTGCTATAAAAATAAACTTGAATTGAATTTTTTAGTTTTTTTTTTAAATATTATAATTACATTAATATGGTACTGTATTACAGTAATTTGAATCTAATGATAATTCTTTAAAAGTGATAAATATATAATTATATATACAGTATATTATAAGTATAAATTCTTTAAAAGGAAATTTTTAAGGTTTTCTTATCATAAAAAATACTGCTTATTTATTCTGAAATAAATAAATACATACAATTATAAAAGTGATCATTTAGAAGTTTTTTTTTATTATTATTGTATAAAAATTATGTATACTTTATGGTATTATTAGTTGTACTGCATTCAATTTATTCTGATTTAAATAAAACAAATCATTATAATTATTGTAAAATGGTCAAAAAAAATTATAACATTTTTAATGAGAAGAATTTTAATTATGATTTTTTTTTTAAATGTCAACTGAGAAATGTTCAGCCTCAACTTCAAATTTCTGTAATAAAAATTCTTTAAAAGGGTATTTTTAAAATAATTAAGTTTTTATTACTGTAATTAAAAAAATAGTAAGTATACATTATCATATTATTAGTTGTAATGCAATTAATTTATTCTGATTTAAATTAAAAATCATTTAATTATATGTTTAATGAGAATTATCACCACTGAAAATAATGAGAATTAAAAAAAAATGAAAAGTACAATGTCTGTGTGCATTACAGTAATGATAATTTGTGGGAAAACATGGTTAATGGTCATGAAAATAATATCACAATAAAATACATAATGACAACTAAAAATAAAAATAAATTCAGTCATATAATTGTCAGAGTGTCTAGTAAAATGCACTATTTTAATGAAAAATTTATATATTCTGTATTAAAGTGAATGAGTAACCATAAAATATGACATTAAGTTTTGAAAATTGTAGATCATTTTACAAAAAAATGAGAAAAAACAATGACAGGCAGGACTTGATTTTATCCATGAGGAATTGATCAGATAATAAACAATGTCTCTATATGAGAGATGGAAGAAAAACAAGATTAGTTATCATTAGTTATATATAATCAAGGTAATAAGTAAACAACAGTGCTTTTCTCTAATTTTGTCATGTAATGTGCTTAAATTGTCCATGCAGTCCAAAAGTGTGGTTTAAATCTAGTGATCTCCATTGAATCATTTTATATTTTACTTCTATTTATGAAATTTGTAATTGCTTGGAAAGCATTTGTAGAATGATATACTGGCCCACATTTGATATTTATCATCTGCAAACACACGTGACCTTCACATGCTCCTGTATGACAGCACACAAACACACTCGCAGCGCGTCAAACGCTTACGCCGAGTGTCTAAAACAGGACGGCGGTGCTGGAGTCAGGTGTCACGCTTGAACACGCCAGCCAGAGAATGCTACCTATGTGAGACGCCCAACACGCCACACTGAAACACACACACACACACACCCCTAAACGCTCGGGAAATACTGCAAACGCTTCACAAACTCTGTGAGCTGAGTCTCACAACCATGGTGTGTGTGTGTGTATAACCCACCGCCTATAATGGTAAAAATCCACCCACTCGTTTTATTATAATCCCAATAATTCATAAACAGTCTCTCCAAACGAGCGATTCCAGATTTCTCCCTATAATGACGTCATACTAGGAAAAGTCCCGCCCATTTGTGACACTCTCTGCCCTATTAGCAATAGCATAGACACCGCCCTGAGAGGATTTTAAAGATTGATTATGAAGACAAACAGGTTTTTCTTTAGAACAACACCACTGATGCATCATTCACAATTAACCTTGGAGCATGAATTATAAAAGTAAATACATCTCATGTTGATTTTACCATTTGACCTCATGTATTGACTCGTGCATCACTGATGAACAACCTGCGAAAGACCGTTTCGCACAGAAGACTTGAAGCATCACAAACGGCATGTTCAGGGTTGTTTGTGTGCGTGTCGAGGAGCATCTGTCTGTGGATGAGTATCTGCAGGTCATGTCTGCTATCAGATCAGCTGTCAGCACGGAGACCGCAGCAGAGCCACGAGAAACCACAGATGCCCAGGAACCACATTACACCCAACACATGTAATGTGAACAACAGCACGCAAAACACAGATCAGTTCTGACTTCAAAACAGATGCATGCTCAAATACATCAATGTACAATATCAACATTTATTAATAATAATATTACATCAGAATAAAGCATTCTTCTTAGGCCTGTCGCAATAATCAATATATCGACTTATCGTGCAATATATGTACATGACCTCAATCATTTTTGGTGACGCAATATATCGCCCATTATATTTACTTAAAAATGAATGTCACCATGTTTTGTACACTCCACTTGCGCCTGTGTCTTCTCGTACATAACGTGGTGCAGTCATGAGGTGCTCGTTCAAATTTAAAAAATGCTTTTACAAACAAAGTTTCATCTGCAGATATGGTCTTGTTTAGGGATCTGTGCCTTTGTGCATACAGACATCTGACTGCTGAGTAGTGCTTGTGTTTCTCAGAAATAGTGTGCACCCTTCATTTACTGAGAAAAGAAGGTCAGGGAAAAATCTGTGGATGGAAAAATCTGCATACAAGTTCTTTGTGCATTTTTCTACTTGTTACTTTGCATTGTTTAGGGATCTGTGCCTTTGTGCATACAGACATCTGACTGCTGAGTAGTGCTTGTGTTTTTCAGCAATAGTGTGCACCCTTAGTTTACTGAGAAAAGAAGGTCAGGGAAAAATCTGTAGATGGAAAAATCTCCATTCAAGTTCTTTGTGCATTTTTCTACTTGTTACTTTGCACTGTTTGTCAGGAAATGTTTATTTACTATTTATTCGGGCTTTTTAAGGTATCTAATATTTTGATACTTAATTTCCATGATCTAAATATTCTTAACAATTTAAAGTCTGTTGTCATTTGGAAGTGTGTAGGCCTTCTCTTCTAACAGAATTATTATGCGTTACATTATGATTATATATTCAGTCTTTAAAATGACAATAATATTGCTCATCGCAATTACTTCTGGGGCAATATATCGCACAACAAAAAGTTGATATCGTGACAGGCCTAATTCTTCTACCAACTAATATAGTTATAGATGTATTTATAGCTACAAATCTGCACTTATCCAGCAAACACGACCAAAAGCTTTCTGAGTCTTTGTAAAAAACAAAGTACAATCCATATCATTCTCTCCTCTGAACGGCCCACAAACACGTTTAACAACGCATCCACACGCATTTATTTATGTCTGACATACTGAAGGAGGCACGGACTGATAAACTACATCCTACTGCTCACGATCACCTGCATCTAACGGACAGACATGAGATTTTAGAAAGTAAATAACCACCAAAACCAGCGTTCTCATTATTAACTAAAACTAAAACCATGAAAACAAAAAAAACACTTTCATTACTTGACTCAAAATAAAATATTAGTACAAATATATTGATCATATATATAACTGAAATAAAATGAAAAAAAAAATTCTGCTAGAATTGAAGTGCTAAAATAACTAAAATTAAACAAATATATATTAAATATATATATATATATATATATATAAAAAATAACTAATAAAACTGGCAAAACACAACAAGATGACTAAAACTATAAAACGAACAAATAAAATGAAAACAGACAATATAAAAATGAAATCTAATTCAAAATATTAACAAAAACTATTTATACATAAATTTTTTCTCTAACTTTGTCAAATTAACTTGGGCTTTGGAAAGGCGCTATAGAAATAAAACATTATTATTATTATTATTATTAATATTATTATATCAATTACACTAAAATAACACCGACCAAAACATATACTGTATATTAGGGCTTTGATTCATGCAGAATAACTAAATAAACTAAAACTAAAATTGAATAAAAAAAAACTATAAAGACATATTTAAAAAATAAAAATAAAAATAACAAAAACAAACAAAATTACTAAAACTTTAACTTAACATGAAAACGGAAAATATTCAAATCTACCGTAATTCAAAATATTAAAAACTATTATATATTTAGTTTTTAATATTTTTAAAATATGAAAAAAATATTTCGATTTTTGTATTTTCTGTTTAATAAAACATTATTGTTACTTATTATAAATAAAATAAATACAAATAAAAGTTATTATAAATAAAATAAAACATTATTAAATCAATTACACTAAAATAACACTGACCAAACTGCAGAACTGATGCTGAATTACAGTTACAGTGCATTAAAACTACTGAACCTGGTTTTGCATTTGTTGAGGACATGTTTTGGCCGTGAGCGGAGCAACGTCTCCAACAAATACAAAACTAATTCAGCAACTTTCATGTAAATTCTGCCAGACAAGTTTGAAGTCTGATAAACACACGCACTGATAAAATAAACTCAATCCTGCCTGAAGCTGAAGGAATCCGAGCGATTTCCCAACAGATGAAGCAACGATCGGCTCGCTTTCGAAAAACCACGCCAAAAAAGGAAGAAAAATCTATTTCAGCCGTTAAAACATTCTAGAGATGATTCAAACATTACTAGTGTGTGTGATGCTGAACAAACACTCACGACAAACCGTTACTGAGAATATACTCTAGTCTGCACACACATAAACATCACTGAACACTTACATACACACACTCCAGACCACAGCACAGCTTCTCTACGCACACGTCTGACATTAAAGACACGGCGCACTTCACATAAAGCGCTCTATGCAGGCAGTATTTCAGGCACTGTAAAGTTCTAAACAGATTTTAGTCAAAATGTTTCTTGAGCAGCAAAGCAGCATATTAGAACACACTTACTTT